ACTTTTATTGGTGACCAAGAACAGGAGAAATGAGAAAAAACTCCCAAGTTAATTCCTATGATTTGAATGCTCCCCATAACAGTTTATATACTACAAGGTTGGTCCCTAGTGTGGTGGTGTTTGGACATGGCAGAGCCATTAACTGACTGGGATGGATGAAAGTGGTTGTGTCACTGAGTGTACTGCTATCAGAAAAGATTAATGTAGTTCTATCGCAGGAACCTGCTTAGATTGTGCAAGAGCAGGTTTTTATAAGCAGAGCAAGGTTGGCCTCTGAAACTAGCTTACCATGATATGATCTCTTCTACACTCCCATAATTGTGATGCCATATGCTGAGAAGTCCTCACCAGAGGTTTAACTGATGAAACCATCCAATCTTGGTCTCTCGGCATATAAAATGGTGAGCTAAACAGGTCCTTTTCTTTATAAAGTGCCCATCTTTGGTATTTTGTTATACCAACAGGAAACAGAACTGGACATGTAGAATGGTAAAGTGAAAGATCCCACAGAAGGATTTGAATAAACAAAAGTTTCCAGCTTTATCTTCTAATTGCAACTATTTTTACAATTTGAATAAAATATCCAAGTATAAATTGGCCAAGAAATGACAAACAAAAACCATGAAAGATTGGTTGGCAAGATAATTCTTTCAACAACAAAATGTTCAGTATAAATTATTAATTCATCCTATGAAAGATTTTAAGACTTTTGGTTCTTAGTTTTGTATATGAGGTATAGAAGAAAAATATGTTATAAATAAAAGCATAAGGATATATCTGAAAAGGTTAAAATTTTAACTAGACCAATTTAGGTAAATAAATTCTTTTAACTTGAGTTGAAAGCTGTCAAATATACCAACATTTTAAAAATTATCACTGATTTTGAAGACGTTTAATATGAAAATAGAGTGAGACTAAAATTTTCCTGGAACTATACAGAAGACAGTATAATTAGAAAACGTGTTGGGCTAAATAATAGCTTTAAAATAAAGGTAAAAGCCTTGTGGTATTTCTTCTAACATGCTAAGAATCCATTTAATCATAAGAAAAATGTCAAGCAAACCTAAATTTACAGGTATTCTACAAAACATGACAAATACTCCTCAAAATTATCAAAGGCATCAGCAGAGTAAGTTATCATGGTAAGAACAGATGTGAAAACTGGGGAGAAGTTAAAACTAAATGCAATGTGGTCCCATGTGTTGAATCCTAAAACTGAAGAAAGACATAATCAAAACACTGCTAAAATCCGAATAACACACAGAGTTAATACTAATGTATCAATATTGGTAACTTTAACAAACACTACAGTAATGTAAAGCAAAATCAGGGAAAATGGAAACTGGATGACAGATATATGGGATCTCTCACAGTATATTATCTTTGAAACTTTTCTGTTATCTACAACTATTCCAAACAAAACGAGTATCTTTTAAAAGTCAAGGTAAAAATATGATACTAATCTAGAAGTTTAACTCGATGATTATTACAACATAAAAATAAAAACAAATACTGCTTCACCCAATGGCTTATAAATATGCAAATTAAATTATCAACAACTGCTTTCCCACAAAAAAACCCCACAAGTATAGTACAGTGGTAGATATCTGTTTATAAAGTCTTACTGGCAAATCCTGCCAAATGTTAATTTCTTTCTTTAGCTGCTTAGGTGATGAGAGGCAATGGGGAGAAGAAAGAAAGGAAGAAGGAATGGGTGGCAGTCAATATTTAATTATACTCTATGTGTTTATTTTTAGTTAACTTAAGAAATAAATGACAGAAAACCTAATATTTGAGTTTATACTATAATTGTTTCCAAGCACATAAAAATACTCTTAGCTCTCTCTCTTCAATAGCACAATGAGTGATCTAAAATTCAATACACAGTCGATAACAAAAATTTAAAAACAGGTGCTCATTTTACAAATTTAAGTATCTTCTCTTATTAACCTGATGATAAATATCAGACTTTCACATCTAGATAGGACAGAATCATTTATGGCACACCAATGCTCCAGCCGTGAACAGGAAAAGAAAAAAAAAAAAACAAAAAAAAAACCAGCAAGATTAAACACAAAAAGTCACCTATATAAGAGCGTGAGAGGCCTGTTACCATAACACTAACTTGAGTGGCTAAGACCCTGCAGAGGGGTAACTGGAAAGACGTGACTGAGGTCTACAATCATTTTTTTCCCCCTAAGAGTTTTAAAGATTCTAAGTATGGGAAAAGTGCTATGAGATCAGATTGACTAGGGAGAAAGCTCTGGCTAGAGGACAGAGAGACTACTTGAGTTTTGGTAGTTATATAGAATTGAAGTAACAAAACTGGAGTAATAGTGTTTTCCACAGTCTTACAATGCTGAGGAGGTAAATATTAGAATTCAGGATGTGCCAGAATTACAGCCGTTGAGAATACTCAGCTCTCAGTTTGGGAGATCACAGGCAGATTCAGACTTCCCCAAACTCCCCAGCTCCATGGAAGACAGTACAGCATTTTAAACAGAGATAAAAATGAACTCAAAGAAACATCTGATGAAGTAGGGGAGAAGAACAACTGATTAAGTGATGACCTTGAGTGAAGAAGAAAAGATGTGAATTAGCACAGAAGTAGGAAGGATGCTTTAATTAGAGAGTCACAGTAAAAAAAGAAGCAAAGCAGAGGAGGCAGGGATGTGGGTATTAATGCAGGTAGCTTGGCAGATGATGAGCTGTTGCTGCCATGTGCAAGTTCACCTTCTGTATGGAGAAAAGAAGTGCATCTAAGGAGAAAGGAAAGACTTTAGACAGTCCGCTAGAGGGGCGAGTGAATGGACTAGTGAGAGCCAAGAAGGATGCCAGGCAATACTAAGGGGACAGTTTAGATAGCAAATTCTGTGACTTTCTCCTTTTATGTAAAGCTGTGAATGTATAGATTGGATAGAAAGATGAATTTAACCAGGCTTTGATTTTACTAGATGAAGTGGAAAAAGGGAGAGAGGATCAAGAGAACTGAGTTTAAGAAAGTTGTGGATAATTACAATGGGTCCTGGTCTCTAAGTTATGGAAGGAGAAAAGAAGAATGGGACATAGTAGTTTACACCTGTAATGGCTGGGAGGCTGAGGAAGGAGTATCACAAGTTCAAGCTTTGATTGGGCCACTGTGGAGGACCACCTGGGTGATTCTCCTTGAAGGAGGAGCAATTGTCTCCATTTTGGCTGAGCCTGACCCTATTTCCATATACTGATATGTACAGAGCTGACTAGGACTTTTCCTTATCCCTTCAATTGGCTCTAAGCAATGCATACCGGTCTAGCCGAGGTGCTTATGGTAGTCTTTGAAGACTGCAGCTGTGTTTTCCCAGACTCCCCATGAGTGAGCTGGGACAAGACGAGATGAAGAGCCAATGCTCCATGCTGTAGGCTGGCATCAAGCCTTGAGATAGAGGCTATGACTTCCTGGGGCTTGAAATATTACACATCAGAGCTGAAGCACCATACCTCAAAACATTAGATACTATCGCAATTGTGCTATGCAGATTACTCTTTCTGCATATCCTTCTCTCTGCATATTGCAGAGGAGATTTCAGGCCTCCTACCTAACCCAGATCGTGGTACTCCTGTACTTCCCGCTATTCTCACAGTCACTCATCCTCAAACCACTCCTTTCTTCACAAATGAATAAAATATGGATTCAGTCCAGGGTAAAGACTTTTGAGCCAGCCAGCTATCATTGTGGCTGGACTCAGGACCCCCTTGATTCTCCATCATTTTGGATATATAATTGTCTTTACACCATGAGTTACACTGAAAGTGGTAGATTGGAATTAACTCACTAGAAGTCCAATAACATTTCCATAAGATTATAAATATAAACTTCACGTGCCACAGTGAGGACCAGGAAGGGCTCCTTCTTGGCCACCTATAAGACCCTATCTCAAAATTTAAAAACAAGGGCTGGGAATGTAGCTCAATGTGGAAGCCCCAAGGCTCAAGGCAAGGTTGGAAGGAGAAATTCATGAGAGGAATAAGGGATCAAAAAGAATTAATAAGATCTATAAAAAGAGGTGCCAGTGGAGTTGGAGTACTAGGGTAAATAAGCCAAAAGAAAGTGGGTGGAAATCAAAAATACAGATGCCTGACAATGAAACTCCTAATGAACAAGATAGGATACAACCATAAGCCAGATGGCAGAAGTACCAGAGTGTACGGCATTCAATGACTGAAAAAGAGAAACTCCAGGAAATGAGAGCTCAGTATATTAAAATATCTACACAGTTATTTAAACCACCAAGAACTATGACAGGAGTAGGTTGAAGAAAGAGACAGAAATAGACCCCAAATCTTTACAAAACAAGAAAAGCGACACAGGAGTATGTACCTGACTAGAACAGGGTATACTGAGTAGTAGAGTCTGATGGGTAACTTTCTCAACTGGAGCTGTTTAGGAAGGAAAAGGAACAACGATCTAAAAAACAGTAATGAAGAATTATCTTCCAGGCTCAGTGGTAGAACTGGTAAGGGACAGAGTAATACAGGTACTACTTGAGAGAAGCCTCAGGGAAGAAATAAAAGTTAGAGCAGGAAGATGGAAGTAATGCTCAGAACTAAGAGTACATTAGTCATTTGATCAATTAAATAATATTTAGTAAGAGGCACTAAATTAGACATTTGGAGTAAAATAGTAAAAAAAGACATTCTCAATCCTCAAAAAACTACAACTTGAGTAAGAAAACCCACATAAAAGTGATAATTTTAAAGAATATAATTACATTTTATAATAAATTAACATGTCACAAAGCACATATTTTACTAAGAAATGATAATGCATTAAATTCTATAAAGAAATCAAGGTGCATATTTTGAACAGCTTTATAACTATTTTAGCATATCTAATTATTGTGGTTTTAATTACATGCTAAAAACTAATATAAATAAGACTCTATGGGCAAAAATCACCTTTTAATGGTTAAATAAAGAAGAAAAAACAGTAAGTGCATGCTTTTAAAGACACATGCAGATACCTGAGACAAAGCAGCATCCCGTTCCTCTATCACAGCATTCATTTCTTCTGCAGTTATTCTCTTTTTACACTCCTTGGTCTTGTAGATTCTATCTACAATTATAGCTCCATTCTTCTGAATAGCTATCCCAGTGTCTGCATTGTTTATTCTGTTCAGTAATTCCTGTAATGTCTACCAACACCATTATATGTTAGTCAGACATGAAGTTTTAATATATTTTATTTAATATAGGGTTTTAATTAATAGGCACATGTGAATTGTAAATTGACTGAGTGAAGTTATTGAATTTTCATATTGCAGCAAAGATGTACATTATTAGTGTGTCAATTCTTCTTTTTCCCACATCTTAGTTCTTGAAACCCACTCAATTGAACTTAAGCCTCTAAGATATAAGACTGACATCAAGAAATCTCCTCAGAGAATGGCTTACCATGTCATTTTCTTCAGGGTTAATATTTTCTAGCCTAGAAAAAAGGGACACAGAAAGCCTGATCAGTAGCATTTCCTTAGTGCAGCAAAATGAGTTCGCTTTTTAAATCTTTAGAACCTCAAGTAATTTCATTCGACTAGTCTTTAGAGTCAACCATGACACTGAACATATTAAAGTGCCACCTGCTCGACTCCATCTTTCAATAATGCTCTATATCTTCTGCACTGACTTCAGACTGTTAAGTTATTAATGTTTACTGCTATATATGACTACAAGGATCAATTGTTCATATGTGCTTAGATGAAGAAAGTTCCCCAGTGATAGAAGCACTCATACTCATCATATTTATTCCTGGACTTCCAATTCTTATCACAAACTGTGTTTCCTCTCTTTTTGGACAGCATCACAAGTAAAACAAGGCAAGTGTTTTTATTACAAAGTTTAACTAGGTTCCCTCAAAAGCAATGACAAATAATTACACTAAATTTGACCTGAAAATCTCTTGCTGCTGTTTGTTAGAACAAATATACTATATAGAAAGGCTGACCAAAATTGGACCATCCTTTCATATGACTGTTTTCTTGTTTTCAAATATGGTATTATTCAACTAAAATACAAAGGAAGTAAATCAGTTTCCCTTATAAATGCATTTTGTCTTATAAAAGGCGTAGTACTTACTGATGAACTGAGGAAATGCACTAAAAAAGTTGTGAACAGCATCTTAGAAAATGCCTATCATTTAGGCAACCGCTAAACTGAATAAATTAATAGAAAATCTGTAATAGGTATTTGTGAAATGATATGTATTCTAGATCAATCTCAATTATTTTGAAAATATACTAAAAATAGTTAAGGTATCCAAGTTACTGTTTTGAGCAAGTATTCTGTAGACTAATATCCAAATACTAAGTGGTTTACTTGCTCACTCGTGATCCATGTATCAGACTTAGCATCTTAGATTCACCAAAAACGAGCTCAAATTCAATTTTCAGAAAATGACAAACCATTACATGTTATGTATTTTGAGACAGAATCACACAAATTAAAGTGTGAATTCTAAATTCATATGCTTGGTATAATAAAGATATAACCCTAGAAATGCAAAAATTGATTGAGAGAAGACTTGGATAATATCAAATGCTAAAGCAACTGTTATTCACTGCTGTACAAACTGTGGTTTTCAGAATTTTGGAGAGCTTACATAGGTTTTGCTTGTTTTGCAAATGGGATGGGAACCAAGACACAGCAGGAAGGAGGGTGGGAAGAGGAAAGGGATATAAAAAAAAAATTCAGATGTGTTATGTGAATGTACTACCTTCCCCACAATGAATGTAATTGCTATGTACTACAAACATATACTAACAAAACTTTAACATATAATTTTTTTAAATTTTAAAAAGTAATCATTAATGAAAACAGTACGAAAGGGGCCAAAATGATGAAAACTTTGGAAACTATGTCACCTGAGGAACTGATTATGCTGACCATATAACTTTTCCATAATGCCCTTTGATTTTTAATTCTAAATTGGATAGGTACATAAATTGACTCCCCCAACCCCTAACTAGTTGGGCTAGATATACCATGTCTCAATGGATTTTCAACAACTATTTACAGTACAGAACTTTAAAAGAATGACAATTTTTCAAAAATGTTAACCAATACACTTAACTGAATTACATTCATATTTAGTTTACAGGATTGATGGAGTGTACCTTCTGAGTTTATAGTAAACATATGCAGAAATATTATTTGTGAACTCATAACTAGTACTCTTACTCTCACTTTTAAAAGAAAACTCAAGCCAACATTAAATTACTAATAGTCTCCACAGCTTTTATAAACAAATGCCATTATAAATGATAGAACTAAGTGCTACAAAAACAAAAAAAAGAAATGTGATGCCCTGAAAGTTTGTACATGTTCTCATTTAGTGTCACTACATACATGGTGTGCCTATAGAGATGAAAATGTAAGATGTCTGTACTAGGAAAAAATAATAAAGACACTTGATAAATATGCTACATAATTGTTAAAGTTTCCAAAAACAGACTAAATTGTTACACTTACAGGCAAAGAAATAATTATAAAATCCTGCATCTTAAAAGAAAACTAAACGTATCAAAAAACTAATCCACAGGTACAGTATATTGATATACGCAGCAATGTATCTCAAACTACTAGTATCTGCTTGAATGCATATCTTGAGAAAAGTAATCTTTTCTTCTATATTTCTTCTTCAAGTAAATCAAATTTTCCAAGATGCTTTGTAAGTTTGTTCTTCAAGAACTGTGAACATTGTCATTACTTTTTTTACTCAACTGAGAAATGTAACAAAATTCTAACATTTATGATCACAGTGAAAGTAGCAGTGGCACGTAATCATCAGTGATTAGTTGGCTTAAATGATTTTAAGGAAGTCATCTGTAGTGGGAAATATTTATTTTAATGTTACGCTTTTTTTAGATGAAACCAGATTATGAGCTGATTATGACAGTTTACCAATACAATCCAGCTCAGCTATTTAAAACTTTCAGAATTAATTATACTTGACAATTTAAAATGTATGCAGAAACATAGCTAAATATTTAGATTCATAGATTCTTGGGTATCATTAAAAACTTTAGTGACTAGGAAAATAAATCTCCAATTTCAGTTCCAAAGAATTACATATAACAAGGATAAAAACAAGTGTAGTTAGGCTACCTAGTTTGTATGTCTCTAGCACAATAAGAAGAATTTCTTTGTAATATTTTAAATTTTTCTTTAGGCACTGCAAAATTAAGAATAATTAATTTAAAGAGAGGTAGATGAACAGTTGAATATTTTAAACAGTTCTTAACAGGAATGGGTTGAAACCATCATATTTGCTTTAATATTAAAACTCCCTGCTAACAATTATTCAAGAACTTTTAAATCAAAATCAGATTTTCTTATTAAGAGCTATACTATATTCGAGTCACATCAATTCAGCATTCAAACTTCAAATAATTTGTGTGATTGTCCATAAAAGCACATAACATATAATTATTTGTCATTTGCTGATAAATGAATGTATAACTGTTTTTGGTGAATCTGAGCACTGTCAAATAATCCACATTTGTATATCAATCATGCTTTATTATTATTCTTTATATACTTGTAAGTATAGTTATAAATGGCCATCAATAAAAATACATTAATCAACATTTTAAAAGGTTGAGATTTGAGAATCTGTGAAGATTCATGTGACTTTCAATATAAATGAATGTATAAAGAGAAAAAGCTGATATTTATATTCCTCTATTTGTATTTCTTTAAGTCTTAGGAAGTATTTACCACAGATACCAAAACGATCACATTATAATTTTATCCCTACTAGATTATTTAAGCGGGGATCAATAAATTTTTTTCTGTAAAAGGACAGATAGTAACTCTTTTAGGCTTTGCTTAGATTCTGTCATAACTATGATACGCTGCCTTTGTAGTGCAAAAGCAGCCATAGATAACATGCAAATTAATGTAGTTTGTTCTAATAAAGCTTTATTTACAAAAAACAGGCAGAAGCCTAGCATTGCATCAAAGATTCTTAGTTTGCCTGTCCTTAATACAAAGTATTAGAAAATGAGACCAGCTCTTTAATGTTAATACTCTGGAAATGGCAATTCAATATAGTCGACAATAATTTTATGAGTAGAATCTTTCAATTTCTAGCTAAAGACAAAAATCAACAAAAATAATTTTCAGAAAATTAATTTCTAGCCTACCATAAGTATACCACTGATCTTATCACTTAACACAAAAATCAGACAACCAATCCTTAAGAATCAACTTGAAATAGCTATACCAGACCTTCAATTTTCTGTATACAAATATCAAAGTATTGAGGTCTACTTGCAGCATGTACAACATAGTAAAGAATTAAGGTAATGGTTGGTGTTGTATGAAATATAGCTCACAAACTAGAAATTATATATACTTCACACGGAAAAAAAGAATTGCAACACTTCACATATATGTGTCAACTCACCAAACTGTAATCATTTTGTACTATAAACAGGTACTAGTAATTTCTTCAAAAGAAAACAAAATAAAAGAATGTAAAGCTATGTAAACTCTAAATTATACCTACTACAGTTTAATTTGACAGTCATGATAATTAGTAAGAATTCTGCTGAAGTAAATGTCTACAAGCTCAAGTTTTGATTGATTTCCTATACCATGCAAATTCTGACTGACAATCTTGCAATCTAAGCGAAAAGACTCATCATGAAATGTCACATTTCTCAATTCATTCCTAAATCAGTCAATTATCACCTTTTCCTTTCTGAAACTATAGTGAGTCACCTTGTTCAATAGTAAGAAGCAAAACCCTGATCTCAAATGACAAAGAAATAGTGACCAGTGATTCAAATTCTAACTTGTTTGCTTTTATTCTCATTTTTGCACAGTGACAAAATTAATTTTTAAAAAAACCCTAAGAATAAAAGAGATTGAAGATGTTAACATCTCAGGAGTGCAAATGTACATACACAACAAGTATGTGTACATTTTTGTGTGTGATGACTCATTTTAACTTGAACCCTTCTTATCATTTTACCTAGTTTTAGATAGAAGCCAAAAGAAAGCATTGAAAATTCAAGAGGTAAAGGAAAAGCAGAAAAACACCAGAATAAGATGAGACATATACTGTTGTAGAGAGACACAAAGTAGGTCAGAAGTGGCAAAGGGGACGGGGGAAAAAAAGACAAGGAATTTGAAGGTCAAAGGATCATAGGATACAAGAAATAGGGAATTGAAGGTGGTGTGAAATAATTTATATAATTACATTCTACATTCAAGAGGCTGGGGATTTAGCTCAGTGGTACAGTGCCTGCCTGGCAAGTGCAAGGTCATGAGTTCAATACCCAGTACTGGAAAAAAACAAAAAACAAAAACCAAAACAAAACAAAAAAACATTCTACATTCAATCCCTCCAAGTATGTCTTTGAGTAAAGTAAAACTTGGTTATGAATTTATTCTAAAGTTTATCCTAAAGTGATCTCCAGAAGGTTC